TGGATGGATGGATGGATGGATGGATGGGTGGGTGGATGGATGGGTGGGGGGGTGGATGGGTGGGTGGGTAGGTGGGTATGTGGCTGGGTAGGTGACAGATAAGTAGGTGGGTGGATAGGTGGGTAAAGGATGGATGGAATCAGTGAGTAAATAATCAATATCTACTTGATAAAGCATTTATAAGAATCAAACGAAATCAGGTATGTGAGATGTGAATACACTACCGTGCTCAAAGAGGTAGCTATTACTGTTTCTCTAGCCCTCACCTTCCTCATCTGTGAAATGGACTGGGGCAGCTGAGCTCCATTCTGATACTCTTGATTCTCTGGCTTCCCAGAGGCATCGGCGTACCACCGCCAACAGAGCTGATGGAAAGTTTATATCTCAGCCTCTCCCACTACACCCCTCCTGGAGGCCAGAAGGCACAGAGGTGACGTAAGGGGAGCCCCTGAGCAGGTGGCTCTGGTGGGAAAGGAAGAGGGGGAATCCCAGACCTTCAGCGCCAGCCCTGCTTCCTCACTTAGGGCTGAGGACCTCACTCCTTATTCACCACAGGGACAGCAGGTCAACCTCTCTCTCCCCACTGGGCTCCCCTGCCCCTTGAGCTCACAAGATGGCTCTGCACCCCACTCTCTCCTCCTCCCCCATCCTCCCTTCTAGGCCCTGCCCTCTCTCTCCTTCCCAAGTGCCTTGCTTCATTGGTCCCCCTGTATCTTCTCTTGTCTTCTCTCTGGCTTGGTTCCATTAGTATCCAATAGCTGGATATTTAAATATTTAATGATCAAATAGCTCCATCATCAAAAAAAAAACAAAAAAAACAGAAAACAAAAACACTCCCCTCCGGCAACCCCTCCCCTCACCCCACTTGGCTGGTTTGGGCAGAGAGCCCACAAACCAACACGCCCCTTCCTCCTCCCCCTCCTTGCCACCCAATGTCCGCCACTGGGCTCTGCCCTGGTCCCGGCACAAACCCAGCTTTTGCCGACCTCAGCGGAGTGGGACCCCACTCGCTTCAGTCAGCTCAGCCCCCGTGACTGTGCAGCAGCATCTGCTCCCACCACACTCTGCCCCTGTGGGTCCCTCACAAGCCCACCTGTTCCTGTTCTACATTCGCTGCCATTATTGACCGCTGACCCTGAGCTCCGGTGATTTCTCACAGCAGCCTGGCGAAGGGAATGGTTGAAGCCCAAAATTAAAATTCCAGTTCTGCCACCACTTGCCAGGTGACCTAGGGAAAGGGATATATCTGCACCTCAGTCTCCTCACCTGTAAAGTGGGGCTACTGACACCTGGAGGGTCAGGTGAGAGAACACGCGGAGTGAGCAGGGCTCACTCTCTGTGGCCACCACCACCGGGAGCGCGTTGCCTTCTCTCCTGCCGAGAGAACCAACGAGCCTTCCTGCAGTTGTTTGTTCAGAAGCAGCAGACTTGGGGGGAAAAGTGGTTTTGCCTTTGCAAAACCAAGTAGGGGTGTGGGTGCTTTTCATGGGAACGCATTGCAAAGAGAAGGAGGGTAGCTGCAGAATGTTCTGGAGGGTGCTTATTTTCAGCTCTTGATCAGGGTGTAGATTCTCCTGCTGCCTTTGAACAGAAATCTTAAAACTGGTGCATTTTGCTCGACGCCATGTTACTTCAAAACATCAGAGGCAAATATTGAATTACAATTAATGATACACAGACTGAAGTGTAATAACATTTGCAACTTTCTTGGAAATGCATCAAATATAAGCAGGATTGAGGGAGGGATGGCGACATGGAGAGGTTCCTGATAAAGTAAATATATAAATGTTAACAAATGTCAGACCTACGAGATGAGTCTATGGGTGTTCACTACGTAATTCTTTCCATTTTTTCTGGAGCGCTCTCTTTTTTTTCTCACAATAAAATGTTGGGAGGAAGAAAGTGTCTGGCCTCTCAATCTGTTTTCCTCTGAAAATAGAATTCCCCATTCAAATATTGCCTGGGAGGCTCAGACCAACTCTGAGGGAAAGTCTGATGTTTTCAGCATTAAAAAAGAAGCAAGTTTATTTGGTTCTGAAGCTCCGTAAATCAAAGCAGACGCCCGAGGCATCTGTGTTATATATTGCTTTGGAATCACACAGACCGGGTTTCCATCCAGACCAAGGCTGTGACAGCCTCATCGTGTGACGCTGAATCAGCCCCTTCATCTCTCTGTGCCTCGCCTGTAAAATGGGGCTAATAAAACTTACAGGATCAAATGGCTAATGCATGTAAGGTATTTGTGGTGTATTTTGAGAAGCTGTGGCTAAGACTGCAGTTTCTAGGTCCAGGTTGCCAGGGTGTGAAGTCCCAGCGAGCCACACAGTCTCTGTGCCACGGTGCCAGCACTGTGAAATGGTACAAAAACAGCCCTACGTCACTGGGTTGTTGTGACGATTACATGAACTAATATTGCAGATTTAAGCACACAGTAGGTTTTCAAAAATTGGTTAGATCCTGGCAGGCATGGCAGGGTTCAGGGTTCAGCACATAGTAGGTGCTTAATAAACGGCCGTCATAGTGGACCGGGCTCTTGGCAATCCAAGGAACTGCCCGGCTCTCAACTCCCACCAGCCCCAGTGTGTAGGGATTGCTAGTGTGACATGGAAAAATTGAAGAGCAGGGACGGCCTCGGGGCAGGGCACAGGGACCCAGCAAACTCATCAATTAGGGGCTCTTTATCTGCTATTGAAAAGGCTCCAACGTCTGTTCTGTCCACATCAAAGCCCGTCAAGGTCATGGGATAATTAATCTGTGCATGACTTTCCCCCCCAGGCTGGGGCAACACAGTTCTGCACAGACTAACCAACACTTCCTGAAAACTAACAAACGCTCACCTCACAGTGTAAATAACGCCAAGAGCTGAAGCTGCTACACACAGCCTTGCTCGCCTGGTCTTGAGCTCAGTTGAGCTCAAAGCTCAACTGCCCAGCTGGCCACCACCAGCGCCCCCATCAGGCCAAACTATGGTGGGGCAGCCACGTTTACACTTTTGTGCAAATCAGAAGAAAAAGACCCTCCCCTTCCTCTGGGCAGGTCTCTGGCATCCAGAAGGCAGTGTGGGCTGATTTTCAGGCCCCAATTTTCCTGTAGGCTGGGCACCATAGGGACCCAACCCTGAGTTGGGCACAAGGAAAATACTCCAGAAATCCTAAGTACTATCACTGCTACCTCCACCATCAGCGTCATCACCACCTAGTAACCAGAACTAACACTCTCTCTACCACCATCATCATAGTCTAGGGACCCCAAGAGGTGGAAGGGGAGATAAAAACCAAGTGTGGGTTCCACAAGTCAAGGAAGAAGGCTAGCAGTGAAGATGGAGATGAGAAAGAAGAGAATGTACAGATAAGTGTAGAGTTCTCAAACTGGACAGGCGCCCGGAGGCCAGCCATCTATGACGCCATTTTACAGCTGGAGAAACCGAGGCCCAGAAAGAGAAGTGACTTGCCCAGGGCTATGAGGAGGGTCTGTACTGGAGACCTAGGTCTCCCCCTCCCAGCTTGGACGTCTCCCCACATGATCTCACTGCCACCACAGGGCTCCTCAGTATGAGGGATTGAGGGGAGGGTCTCCAGAAGCCTCACCCCAAGCTACCTGGGACGGATGTGGGTACCTCAGGAAGGGAGGTCCGCGGGGAGTGGCTGCGGAAGTCTGGTGGGGCCGGGCTTACCTTGGACCTGTGTCTGGTACACAATGAAGTAGCTGGGGGTCCCGCAGCTCTCAAACTCCTCCGCACTGCACTTCTGGGCACAAAGCTGCTCATCCTCCCTTTCATGGAGGGGGAAGCGCGTGGTGGGGAACCCACAGTGGCAGGCGGTGCCCGCAAGGGCTGCCAGCGGGTACTCCTGAGGACGGCACACCAGGGGGAGAGGGAGAGAGGGGTTAACCCCTGGACGGGCCAGACTCCCGATGTGAGCCAGACGCCTCCCAGCAGCCCCCCACAACTGAGGCCGCCCCTACATCCCACCTGTGTACCTTCACCCCAGCTTCAGTGAGGAAGAGTTGGCACACACACAGCAGATCGCTGATGTCTGTCCGTGTGCAACCACCCATGGTCCCAGGAGTCCTGGACGCCCCCAGCTTCTTTTCCACCTTCCTCGACGAGCTTTAAGTCAACCCACTTCTTGAAACTTAGACTCCCAAGACACCTTCGATTCACACCCCCAAGTAATCCTGGAGGAAAGTAGCCCCTCCGCCCATTTTCACACTATACGCAAAGAGTCTAGGACAGACAGACAGCGTGGCTCAGGTCTAGCCAGGCGCTGACCCAGCCAGGATCCTGAGCCCGGCGGCTCTCTCCTCCCTGCAAAAGGGGCATCGCGGAGGGCAGAGAGGTGGTGAGAGACACTTGGGCACTGAGGCCAAGCTTTCTTGCTGAGGACTTGAAAGAAGACTGAACAAGAAATGCCTTTCCCAGGAACTGTTTCCAAAGGCAAGCACCCCGCCCCCCGACAGTAACTCAAAGCCCAGGCTTTGGGAAAAGCTGCCTGAATCCATTCTTTTAAGCCAGAAAGGATATTAACACCTAAGAGCAGGCACAGCCTTTTTTGGGAGAGCTGCTCTAATTGCTTTATTTGTTCTATCTAACAGCTAAGTGGGAGCAGGAAGGCCCTGAGCTTTGAAGGGCAACAGGCTGCCTTTGTTCAATTTGCTTCGGCTCGGGACTCACAGCCCCGATTCTCCCCAGTAGCTGGTCCGGAAATAATCTGGTAGCAAAACAAGGTCCCTGGATCTGGGGAGCTTTGCCACAATAGATTTTATTTCTTTCTAACAGATGCTAAGTCTGAACGGTAGCATCTAGCTGAAGAGGAGGGGGGGGAGAGGAAGGGGCAGGTATGGGGTGCATGACGCGGCCACTTCTAAGGGCGACACATATCTGAAGACACCCTGAGGCTCACAGGCTCCACCACGTGCTACAAGCAGCTCTGTACCCCTCCCCCCCCATCCCCTCAGTTTTTCTCCTTTGGACCCAAGCAGATCAGAGAAAACTGTAAGGCAGCGTTTACAGAGGGACTTTCTGTCGCCCACCCCACAGCTGTGATTCCATCCACCCTGTGTACAACTGGGGCGGTTACCGATGAGCCCCGTGAGCTCACGGCCTCATGAGTTTGCCCCCCCCTCAGCTGATCTGAAGGTCCCTCCAGGGCCCTCAGGGACAGAGGACTGTCCACCCTCAGGGAAGGCTACCCTGGGGGTGTGGATTCTCCTCCAAGAGCAAGAGCTGGACCAAGTGCTGGTCAAACCTCCTGTAGTCTCATGCACATCACCTCCGACCTTCCAGGATGCCTCTCGGACTCGGTCCCCCCGCTGCCCTTGACCGACTCTCGGAGCCTGTCCGCAGGCCTGGGGACAGCTCCGGAATTAAGATGGCAGGTTTGGAGTTAGTCCCCAGGGTCAGCCCCAGTGCGGCCACTGGCTTGTGCTGTGGGCTTGGGCAAGTGACTTCACCTGGCTGAGACTCAATTTTGTCATCTGTAAAGTGGGGATGAAAATTCCCAGCTCCTAGTCTTGGGGGACCCCTGGCCTGGAAGGCAGCAGGGAGGAGGGAAAGCCAGCAGACAGCAGGTGCTTCATGATAGGGGAGCCTCGAGGCGAGTGGCAGGGTGACTCAGCACATGGGGGTGCACTCAGGAGTTGGGGTGCTCTCTGAACACCCAGGAGCCCAGGAGAGGCCTCCAGCAATGCCAGTGTCCTCGAGAGCGCACACATCATCTTGCTGACTTTGCCTCCTCAGCACTGCACTCTGCTGGGACCTGGCACAAACCAGGCTCTTGTTAAATATTCCCGAGTGAGGCCCTCCCCGGTGCTACGAGGGGCTGAGCTGCAGCAAAGTGAAGCTGTCCGCAGCCACTGCAGCACGGGTTCAACCCCCGGCCAGAGAGCTGACCCCATGGCGCAGGCCTCTCCGTGCCCCATGCTCCCCTCAGCAGTGCGTTTCGGTCGATCCAGCTGTTCTGCTCCCCACTCTCTGGCGAGTCCTCGCAGCCCCGCATCTCTCTGGCCTGCACCCCAGCTCTTGTGTGCACCAATAAATACATCTTAAATATCTGTATATTTCCCAATGGAGGAGTGGGATGGGCAGCCACTTCCTGTGGCAGCCGAGGGGTGACTCTCCCCTGGACCCTGACCTGTGCGAAGGAGGCAACTCCTCATTCCTTGCTGACTTCCAAGGCTGTGCCTGGACCTGTCGCTCAGGAAGGGGGGCACGAAGTGTTTGAGGCACAGCCCCAAGTTTTGAGGAGCTCACCACTCAACTAGGGAAGGAGAACATCGGATCTGAGACTGACACCCAGGTCATTCGGTCCAACCGCTGCCCAGAGCCCCACGTTCTGGACACCACTCGGGGCTGGCTTCTCCCTGACAGCGATGGGGAGCTACTCTGTTACAAGGTGGCGCTGTCCTTGCCTGGCGATCTGCTGCCCGTGTTTTGAGGCCCCACTCAAGTGTCACCCTCATCCCTGAAGGTTCCGTCCTCAGAGACAGTGACACGGACCCCACGTAACTCCGGCCACATGAAACAGTCACATCGCACATCACAGGAACAACCTCTCTCCTCCAGGTGACCCCTGGCTTCTTCCCCCATGAGCCCCGCTCCTCCAGCTTTTCCTCACGGCCCCTGCAGAGCCTCCAGGCAGCCCCTGGGCTCACCTTCTCCGTGCAGAGATCCACGCACTTGTCCACAGACATGTTGGGCATGGCGACTGTCACCGGCAGGGCCAGGGAGAGGTTTTCGGGCCGGCGGAAGCAGCCTCGGAAGACTGCGCTGCCATCTGAGGGTGGGAGGCAAAGGCAGTGGTCAGACTGGGTGGGGGAGGGGGTGGAGGGTAACTGGGGGGTGGGGAGTGTGGGGAGGGGAGTATAGGCTCCGTCAGAGGGTGCGCTCACTCGTAAAGCTGAAGCCCAGAGACAGCCCGTCTTGCCCAGGCTCACGGTGTAAGCCAGGGTGGAGGCAAATGCAGCAGATGATTCAGAGAATCCTCTTTCCACCCCGCATCTTTGTCAACCATCCAGGGCACCAAGAGGTTCTTCCTGGGCTGCTTACGCCCTTGCTTCCTCATTCTCAATAGCGGCAACTACTCTTTCAGGGCTCCGTCGTGGAGTTCAACTTCATGCTCTCATCAGGGAGAGCTGGGCGTCGGGGCTGGAGTGGGTTAAAGGGCCCAGAGCTGCCCCTTCCCACAGCACCAGGGTGTGCCCCTCGCTCCCATCATCTTGGGCCTCAGAGGCAAACCCTGGACCCCATGGCAATTCTGAAGACCCAACTTTAGAAAAACCCTGCGACACCCTATAAAATGTTCTCAAAACAAGACCCTCTTGCTTAGCAGATAAGATAGCAAAGCCATCTGCATAGATTGCACTCTGAAACTGCAAAAGCTGCTGCCTGTGGGTGAAGCCAGTCTTTTCACCAGCCTCCTCCCTGCGACAACTAGCAGCCATGTACAGAGGGCTGGCCCAGGGGTGCCCAGCCTGGGGCCCAGCCTGGTCTACAAAGTGCATCTTCAGAAAGAAAGCGCTCAAACCCCAGCCTCGCCTTCCTCGGCATGTAGATATAAAGGCAACGCTCCTCGCCAAGCATAGTTGCCATTTTAAAGCCAGTCACTCACTGTTCCTACCTATATAAACTAAATTCACACTGGAGTTTGTTGAAACAGCCCTCACAGAGTAGAGCCTGTATGCTGCTTCCCAGTTTCAAATGCTCTTTGATGGTCTATCTAACAAACCTTTTGTCTAATTATCACTGAGACTTTCCAGTTAAGTGAGAATTATTTTGGGGACAAAACAGTAACCCTTGGGAAAAGGCAAAGTTGCAAACACCGCATATCTTCACTGTCTCTACACTGGGTTCATCTCTAATGTAAAGCTGGTTTTGAAAGCATACACACAGAGATGTGTACTGACGTGCAGGAGCGAGATATGGAATTACTCCCTGGGGTGACTCATGGCATAGGACAGGGAGGAAGCTCATGAACGATCATTTTACATTTTAGCTGCCAAAGGCACCCTAGTGATGATTTCTACCACCTGGCACCCAGAACCCTGAAGGTGTTTATTGTGCAGGAAAATCTAGCAAGCTCAGAAGACATCTGGAATTTGGTTAAGTGGCTCATTTCCAGAGCAGGCCACAGGCTCACACACATCCAGGGCTCTGTCCCCCACTTTCCCATCTCTGGCTCCAGGCTGGGGAGACAGATGGCAGCAGCAGCAGTGGGTGGGGCGTGATGCAGAGGCTGAGGTTCAAGTAGGCTGTCTACTTCCAGGGTCACAGGATCGTTAAAGAACAGAGCGGTGGGCCTCCGTGGCAGCCTAGGGGTTAAGTCTCAGCGCGATCATCTTCATAGCCTGAGTTCAGTCTGGCCCAGGAGCTGACCATGGCACAGCAGATCTCTCTTGCCCTGCCCGCTGCTCCCCTCAGCAGTGTATCTCAGCACATCTGCCTGGTCTGCTCCCCGCTCTGTCTCTGGTGAATCCTCTCACCACCACCACCACCCTCCGCACTCCTGGCCTTTACCCCAATTCTTCTACACAGAAATAAAAAAACAAAATAAATAAAACCACAGGTTTTTCTTTAAGAAACATATAAATAAACAAGCAAATGACAGAGTCAGATGAATGCCAGTTTCCTGTCTCCCACCTATGCTTCTTCTGATAATAATTATAATTAAAGTAACGATGATGACAATGATAATAAATAATGCTGTTAGGATGAGATGTTGATGGTAATATCATATCACGTCACATGTTGATGACATTATCATATTATCACTATTCTATGGAGAACAAGGCTGAGCTGCTCACACGTGCCATCTCATTGAACGCTCACATCACCCCAATGGCACAAGAATCCCCATTTTTGCAGATGAGGAAACTCAAGGTTCAAGGTCAAACCACTTGATACAAGTCACTCTCCGCTAAGGGCAAGAGCTGATGCCCTTCTGCCCTTGATAACATCATCAAACGTTCCCTGTGGGCCAGGTACTAGGTACATGCTTGATATAATACGCCCAATTCCTATGAGGAAGGCCTCATTCTCCCCATGTAGAGAAGGGATGGCAGAGGCCAGAGGGGGCAGTGATGTGCCCCAGGCCACACAGGGCCTGAGTGGCCACCTCTGGACCCTGGCCAGGGACTGGAAGCCCAGTCTCCTGCTCTCAGGGACATTACTCTGCGGGGAACCACGCCCCTTGGTTCCAGCATTTTCACAACACTGTCACATGTGCCTGCTCCCTCCTGCCCCTCCCCTCACTCCGCTTTCTACCACTTATCATCCGTCAGGTCTGTCACTCGGTCTCTCCACACGGGAGTCTGATTCTCCTAAAGCATCTGAAAATGTCCAGATTTGGACTCCAAGTCTCCAGACCATGTCCTATTTGAGGGCCCACTCTCTAGGCCCCCTATATCAGAGCTAGGGCTGGGAGGATGGCTACAGGTAGAGGCTTTGAGATTGAGGTCAAGGGGGGCCTCTTTGGGGTTGGGACCATCCTGGGCAGACTGCGGGTCCGAAGCCCACTGCATAGGTCAGGTCCTTCTGAAGCCCCCTCCCACCATGCTGGTGGGAGCTGAGGTCCCCAACAGAAGACAGAGCTCTATCAGAAGGGGCGGGGGTAGGTGGCCCTGTGTGTGCACTTAGTAGGGGCTGGCCTCGGGGGTAGCAGGGCTTTGGTGGGGGGGTGTCAGGGGATAGGACATATGTGCACAGTGTGTCACAGGGAGGCAGCATGTGACGCTCATGTGTGTGTCTGAGGCATGTGGTCCAGATCTACCTGTGTGTGCATGTGAGTGTGTACTCTGAGGCTAAACATGCCCGTAGTTTACCAAGCAGCTGTGGGCCTGTCTGAGCGATCACAGGCCTGGGTGTGGGCAGGTGTGGGTGCACCTGCTGGCAGGTCTGCGTACGGGACCTCCCCCGGGGAATGCACCAGGCTTGGAGACCCCGCTCCCAAGGCTCTCTCTGGGTTGCCTGGCAACCACGTAGCTGTGGGAGGGCTCCCCTCCTCTCCTAGCAGAGGGCCAGGATGAGCCTCCGTCATTTCTCAACCACCCCTGAACAGCCAGTGCTGGGGTTGGAACAGAAACATTCACGTCCCCGTTCAAGGCTCTTTCAGGCTTGCCTCATCCCAGGAGAGTGACGGAGGGGCAGGTCTCTCTGCTGGAGTCCAGCCCAGATGAGTCTCGCCCCAGCACACTGAGCCCGGGACCTTCACGCCCGGCGCTGGCAGCGAGGGTGCAGCTGCTGCTGCTGTCCAAGTCCTTCCTAGCACAACACAGAGGAGTGGCATGGAACATGTGTGGCTACATGTGATGCCTGGGGGTACTGCAGGGGTCTCCGGGGTCGCCTGTCAGGGCCCCCCCTTGCGTCCTCTTGCAGACATGACTTGAGCACCTGCAGGCACTGGGCCTCCTGCAACTCCTCCGTCTTCATCTGGGCTCCTTGGCCAGTGCTGCTTCCCCCCGCCCCCACCTGAGTGCCGTCGCTCATCCTTCTGCTCATAGGCCGCGTCAGTCTGGGTCTGCAGAGGGCCCAGAGGGGACCGCCCTGACTCGGGGCTCCAGAGAGGCCTGGCATTTGAGGCCTCGGGACTCTCGATGTAACAAGATCATAGTATCTTGTCTGTCTCATTGACTGTTGTGAAGGTTCCTTGAGCCACCATATGTGAAATGCACTTAGCACAGATGACACGCAGTATAGAGCAGTTGTTCGACCATTGCTGTTTCTCTCTACCTGGGTTGGCGATGGGAAGACACACTCAGGGTTACACACCTCCAGCCCAGCAGCACCTCAGGAGGCCTGGCATTTCCCTGCACACACAGGGTCAAGGCGCCAGCCAATGCTGCTTCTCCCCCAAAGGCAGTGTTTATCCCACCCGCAGCTCCTCCTTCCCGGCTATCTGACCTTGGACAAGTTTCCTCTCCTTTGGGGCTGTGTTATTATCTCCAAAATGGAGGCATGAATATTGGATGAGTCATTCAGAGATGGCCAGGAGTGAGCCTTGTGAGCTGTGAGGACGATGGCAGGGGCGGGTCTGTAGAGTGATCTGTTTCCTCACCAGCTGCCCTAAGGCTTAATTGGAAAAGAAGGGACGGGGAGGACCTGAGCCCCCGCCCTGGCATCTCTCCATGAGGTTTTCTCCTGCCTGCCTGGACCTCAGGGGGCCAGACAGCAAGGAGGGCAGAGGGGGCAAGCTAGTGAGGCCAGCTCTGCTGAATGGGCCCCCTGACATTTAAGCATCTGCTAATGAGTCCCCGACCCTCCCAGCTTAGAGAAGGCTCAGCGAACTGCCCTGAATACTCAAGTAGGCAAGGATTTCAGGGCCCTGTGGGGCCAGAGAGGCATTGTGAGATGCTGTCAGGAGACTCTTTGGTCAAGGTGTGTGTTAGGGTTGGGGTGCGAGGGGAACAGTTTGGGGACTCAGTTCCAGCAGAGAACAGAGAGCCTGCCAGATGACGTGCCTCCCAGAAGTCCTGCCCTGCCTGCTTTCGGAGGACAACCTGTGGAGTCACAGAGGGTGTCAGGAAGGCGATGGAGAGGCTGGGCCCCGGGGCCTGGGAGGAGCCCTGGGGGCACTTCTATAGGTTGCTGTGAGTGTCGGCTTGGGAATCAGAGAGCTGGGAACTTGTACAGCAGCCGAGACTTCCAATCCTCCAGCTTCCCTCATTGCCTCTATCTGCAAAATGGGCCACCTGCTTCTCCCATCGCTGCTGAGAGGCTCTCTCACCTTTTAAGTGTAAAGATGAAAGAGGAGCTTCCAGATTGGCTCCCTCAACCTTCTGG